CCTGCACTGTGAATGTTTACATGTTATGTGCAATTAAACCATGGCAACATCTAATGTTTGTGTAGTATTATGTTCAGCAGACTGTGTTCTTCTATTGTTGTGACTTAGATGACTTTCAGAGCACATTTCATGCCCAATTCATGCAAAACTCCACGTAATCCCAAGGGGTTCACAAACTTTTTCTTGCAACTGTATAATAAATAAATATATAGGTCAGCAGGCATCTATTCACATCCTCATATAAATGTGTTTAGTAGTTTTCTACAATAAATTGATTGCTTATTGCCGCACCCTAAATGTGAGATATGACTACTTCCAGAAATAATGAACCTTCCAAATCAACTTATTACAACTTCAAAATAAATAAATAATAGAATGTGAAAAAAAAAACAAAAACCTGAAAAAAATATCATAATAATAGTAATTTAAATAAGAAATGAATAGTGTCCAAAAAAAGCCTATATAAATTTGATTAAAGTTGATTAGTCAAACAAGATTGCAGATGGATTCTTGCTGGAATATAGATACTTATATGCGCTCACCTTCCATTAAGCCCACTGCTGGGCTAACACAGCTTTATGATGTTTATCCTTGATGGATATCTTTAGAGACTCCCTTGGATACTCCTGATGGTTGATTATAGATGATTGTGGGTCTGTAGGTTAGCTTTTTCTCATGGCAATAGAAAGTGCTCCATCTCCTTGTATTATTTCTCGTTGGTATAGTGGGAAAGAAAAAGGTACATGGTGCCTTATCGTTTTTTTAAAAGAACAATTTTATTCACAACTACTTCTTATGCACTCACAAGTATTCAGTATAAAAATCGCTGAGTTAAAATCAGTGAAACCGCTAAATGCGTTTTTGACAGGTCACCTGCGTGGCTGCTCACACTCGCTCACATAGACTTATACTCGCCATGAAGTCGGGTTGCTGGGGTGATGTCAAAGCCCCTCCCCAATGCGTTGTGCCACAGGGACACGTGGTTTCATCCGGGGGATGTGATCACAAGGTTCATTTTTTCTGGAAGTAGTCATATCTCACATTTAGGGCGCGGCAATAAGCAATCAATTTATTGTACAATAAATAAAGTGTGACTAACCTGTATCAAAGAGGAGAGCATAAAATAACTGTTGCCCTCTCGTATTACGAGTTTAATGTGAACTTGTTGGTATCGGTCTCCTGGAGTCACATTACAAGTCATTAGAGCTCCTTCTAGAGGTAGCCTAGTAGTAGCATTACTGGGAGGTTTATTCATTTACTTCAGAGGTGCTCTTTTGAAGAGCAAGGGCCATTTAAGTGATTTGGTAACTGGTCACGGGCCATAACTGCAAATGTAAATGAGCCCTTACTGTCCTGGGCCCCCTATAAGGCTGTTTTCACACTGACGCACTGCATTTATCCACACCGCAGGTTTCCTGTGGGTTAGCTGCACTTTGCTATGGACATCTATAGACTTAGCTTATATATTGCAGGTGCATTCAGTAGTTTTGGTGCACTTTCAAAAAAAATGCACCGAACCCGCAGATAATAATAGCAGTCTATGGCTCAGTGCAGGTAACCAGCAGCTTGAAAGCAGTCTAGTAACAATTACAGAACAGATATGTCCATTGCTCTCTCTATCTCTCTGTATATATATATATATATATATATATATATATATATATATATATATATATTGCCACATGCTTCCTCTACCGCTGGCTCCATTTACAACACTGATGCTCTGGGATGACAAGTTGACAACCCATGATCTGGGCTTCCGACCTTGCATCCCAGAGCAAGAGGTCACAGGCCACATTAGAGAGCTCCAAGGGCCACCGGTTGGGCACCCCTGATTTTCTTGCTACACACTGTATGTGCAGAAATCATATAAGCTATATTAATTTTATTTTTTTTGCTTTATTTTTTTTTTCCACAAAAGTTGAGTTACTATTTAAGCAAGTGCCAAATAATTTAAAAACTAACTCCAGCACTTTTGAGTAGTTGCAGCAAACGTTTTTTTGTACTTTAGAAAAAAGGTTATGGCAATTTTTTTTATAAAAGCTGACCATTGTAAGCACCACCGGCATTGTTATATGGTTTGTACCTGTTACCAGCTTAGTCTGTACATAAATGTGTTGAAAAATATTAATAATGGCATGTGAAATAAAAAAAGAATTCATATTCTGAATAATATCTTGGCAAATATAAACCCCATGCATTTACAATAAGAGTAATGTGTACAATACTAAAGAGTACAATGGGTAAAACTCTTTCAGTACACAGCTCCTAACAAAAGGGCACGGCTGGCATAACCATGAAAGAGGAAATATTTGTAAAAGCCAAAGAAATAAAAAAGAGGACTACGAAGAAGACAGGAATAGAAATGTGTAGTATCAAATGTAACAGGTTCAATTCTTCCTATAATAAGGATTTCATAGTAAATATTTTCAATGCTTCTGGAAGCTTGACATTTTGCTAGAGTGAGTTTAAATGCGCATTGAATGTTTAGGTTATCAATTACATCTTGTGAGCCTGAAATCTTAGGAGACATCCAAGTACTGCTCTATTAATTTTTGGCAAACCACCACTCCTTTCACCACTCGGAGTGTCTCTATTAAAGCGGAGCTCCAGGCCACCAAGCGAGTCAAACAGAGCCTTATAAAGCACACCGATGTTTCTTGTATAATGTCAATTGCTCATATCCCCAATACAGAGCTCCAGTCACCAAGCGAGTCAAACAGAGCCTTATAACTATCCTCAGGGATCGGCTTCACCGATGTTTCTTGTATAATGTCAATTGCTCATATCCCCAATACAGTTTAAATGAATAAAAAAATATAAAAGTCAATGCACTTCATCAATCACCAATATAAAAGCCAATTGTCTGTATCAGGAAGCGCCGCGGTACTCATATCCAACTTGCTCTCCAAACAGTGGATGTGACATCACGGAATTTTTACAGAATACAATAAAACTATGGATCCTGAAGTAACTATTGCACTAATTATGTGCCTTACATATCATTTTTTGTTAAGCTGTCATTCTTTCCCTTATGGTATTCTTCTTCAATCCCCAAGGAGCTGGCTGGTGCCACATTGAAGCATTTCACTGATTGCTAGGATGCTGGCAGTCCTAGCAACAAGTTCTACAATATGGCGGGGGGAACAGGCTTTGTTGGTGGGTTGCAGGGACTTGCCTTGCATATTGCCGGCGGGTGGTCTGTTAGTGGCAGTGAAGACGTAATATGAGACTGCCAGTGCAGTGAGTCTAATGACTTTAGCTGCAGGCCAAATAAAATGTGCTAGTGGGCCATATGTGACCAGCAGAATGGACTTTGGAGACCCTTGGCATAGATGGTAGGATTGTCTGATGGCCTCATCTTTTTGGCAAGAAGAAGACATTTTATTGTTAGCTCTCTTTGGCTGAAAGCTTCAGTTAACATCATGTATGGCACTACCTAATGTCCAACCCCCTTTGGTTTATCCTGTTTGTAAAATAAACTATACTTGTTTGTGTTGACAGCTACTAGATGGACTATTGCTAAACAGTGGTATAAACCAGATTTGCCTAGCTAGTGCAATTATTATTATCATTATTATTATTATCATTATTGTTATGCAGGATTTATATAGCGCCAACAGTTTTTGCAGTGCTTTACAATATAAAGGGGGACAGTGCAATTACAATACAGTTTAATATAGAAGGAATAGGAGGGCCCTGCTCATACTTACAATTTAAAGGAGAGGGGAGGTGGTACAAAAGGTGATAGCTGCATGGGATGATATGATGGAGGTGACTCAAGTACATTTCTTAGGTGGAGGTGGGTTAGGTTTCCCTGAATAAGTGAGTTTTCAACGATCACCTAAAGGCGAACAGGGTGGGGGCTGACAAGACATACTGGGGTAGGGAGTTTCAGAAGATGGGAGAGGTTCTGAAAAAGTGCTGAAGGAGAGCGTGGGAGGAGGTTACATTGGAGCTAGAGAGCAAGATGTCTTGGGAGGAATGGAGCAGACGATTTGGACCATATCTGCAGAAGAGGTTGGTGATGTAGCTGGGGGCAGTGTTGTTGATGGCTTTGTACGTTGTGGTTAGTATTTTGAATTTTATATGTTAGGCTAGTGGAAGCCAGTAAAGGGATTGGCAGAGAGGGGCAGCAGTCACTAATCAGTTTGTAAAATATAAGGTATGGACAACCCTGGGTGTTAACAAGTGTCTGACAATGAATGATGAATTTTGCAAAGTTCCCTACATGATCCTTCAGAAGCTGACCACATTTTTTTTTTAGCATTTTTCCAAATGCATCAAAATATTAAAAGATTAGAATCTGCTAGTTTTATGTAAAAGAGAATTCATCTTCAAGCTCAGTTTTTTCTCAACTGTGTACAGATTATCTCCAAGGCCATGCAGATGTTTGTAGCACAGAGGCAGTTGACACGGGACCTCTGATTTGCTGTACAAACAAAAGACTATTGTACAACAATAGAATAAGAGACTTGTATAAGTGGAAGCTTAATGAAACATCAGTATACAAGATGATGAAACTGGTAGTTTACTGCTTTTCCTATTTTTCCCTTTGTATCTAATTTCCTGTTGGTAATATTTCTTGTTCTCTGATTATTTCTACATCCTCAGACTCAAAGTTAACTATTTGCCAACCGCATATAGGCAAATGACGGCTACACTGTTGCTGGCCAGTTCTGGGAGGGCGTCATATAATGTCCTCCCAGAACGCGCTCTCCTGCGCGCCCCTGGGGGCGCGCACCCGGCGATCTCCGTGATCGCTGTGTCCTACGGACACAACTGATCACATGATGTGGTAAAAGGCCAATCACAGCGGCCTTTTACCACGTGATCATCCGTGTCCAATGACACGCTGATCACTGGGAAATGCATTTGCCGGTTCTCGGCTGCACTTTCCTCACGCTGTCAGAGCACAAGGAAAGTACTGCCGAGAACCGGCAGTTGTCAGAGCAGGGATCAGCACCGATCATCAGGGCACTGATGATCAGTACCCTGATGATCGGTGCCCAGCAGTGCTACCCACCAATTCCGCCCACCTGTGCCCAGAATTCCACCCACCTGTGCCCAGCAGTGCACCCACCTGTGCCCAACAGTGCCACCCATCAGTGCCACCTACCTTTGCCCAGAAGTGCCACCCACCTGTGCCCACCCACCTGTGCCCACCTACCTGTGCCCACCAGTGCCACCCACCTGTGCCCACCAGTGCCACCCACCAGTGCCCATCAATGCAGTGCTGCCAGTCAGTGCCACCAGTCAGTGCCCAGCAGTGATGCCAGTTCATTGCCACCTATCAGTGCTGTCTATCAGTACCCATCATCAGTGCCGCCTATCCGTGCCACTTGATTAGTGCCGCCTATCAGAGCCCTTCAGTGCCCTTCAGTGCTGCCCATCAGTGCTGCCTATCAGTGCCCATCAGTGCCGCCTATCAGTGCCCATCAGTGCTGCCTCATCAACGCACATCAGTGAAGGAGAAATATTACCTGTTTGAAAAATTTTATAATAGAAACAATTTTTTGCAATTTTTTTGTTTATAGCGCAAAAAGTAAAGCTACCAGCGGCGATGAAATACCACCAAAAGAAAGCTCTATTTGTGAGAAAAAAAATGATAAAAATTTCATATGGGTACAATCTTGCATGACCGCGCAATTGTCAATCAAAGCTGAAAGCTGAAAATTGGCCTGGTAAAGAAGGGGGTATAAGTGCCCGGTAGGCAAGTGGTTAAAATACAGGTAGATACTGTTTAAAAGGACACAATTTAGTCCAATATTCCTCAAGCAGTAATTGTGGGAATTCAATAAAGCACTACAAACAGTTTTCTGGCACTATGGCTCTTTCAAATGGCCTGCGCCACTTTCAAAATTCCCTATTGACCATTGTGGTAAAATTACTGACACGTGCAGCAGATCCAGGTAGTTATTAACAGTGCTGCTTTTACAAAGTAGTGCTATTGAAGCGGCAAAAACTAGTTTGTTTGTTTGTTTTTTATCTGGGTATCCTGCAGCTTTAGGGTATATTTACATGCAGCATTCAGACGTATGTTCGGCACGCATGTGTAGCAACACCACACAAATTATTATGACCATTTAGACCTCTGCATTTGCAGCAACTGCATTTGGATCTGAAAAAAAATAGAGCAGAGTTGCATCCCTGCCAGTGTAAATCCTTCAAATTGTAAGCTCCAAGGATCAGGGCCCTCCTTTCCCTCTTTACTGAACTGTATTGTTGCTGTATTCTCTCCCGTTATATTGTAAAGCGCTGAGCAAACTGTTGGCGCTATATAAATCCTGTATAATAAACTTAATGAACTCATACATAAACATACTATGTTTTGACATACCTGTCAAAGGAAGACCTCCAGCCATCATTAGCTCCAGTGCTTCCATCTTTCCTTCACCTGGTCTTCCATCTGGGTTCACTCCGTTTGGCTGCTTAAATGATGAGGCCATGATGATGTCACTCCTACTCATGCACACATCTATCTATCTATCTATCTATCTATCTATCTATCTATCTATCTATCTATCTATCTATCCATTCAGTTGTATCCAACCCTTAGCGATTGGATGGACCGTCACTCGTAAGCGACTTTTTCCCTGAATTCTCTTAGCAATTATTTTTACAGGGTAGATTGCCAGGTCTTTCCTGAGTCAAATCACCATGTATGATAAAGTTTCTTTCCAGAACTTCATTTTTTCATTTCTCTCTGGCTGCTGTTGATGGCTGCTTTACACAGCTGATTTCTTGGATACTTCTGTGAGGACTTAGTGGCTGTATTGAGTTGCTCGCTATTTTTGGAGTATTCCCTGGTTGGTTAATCTTGCTGTATTGTTCTGTTTGGTGGCCCCCTGTCCTTTCCACAGCTTTTTCTCGTGGTACTGTCCCACTGCATTTCTGTGTTTTTGCCAGAGAAGGACTACAAATATTTATTTTTTATACATGCTGGTGGATTTTCCATCTACCAGTCACACAACATGAAGCCAGACGCACTACCTCCTGAAAAAGTGAACTTTGATTAGCGAATCGTGTTGTAGGATATCAACTGATCATCCCTTCATTTATATATGTTATCATACAATTAGCTGTCATTTTTTAATACATTCTATGTAATTTTACTATGATTTTATTCATGTATGTGAATAAAATTTTGATTATTTTGGGGATGTATTGATGTATCTTGGTTTGGTGCAGCTCTTCTAAAGTCCCATGGGCAATGCTTGTTTTTGAGCTTTCTTGAACTTCATCTCCCATGATGCAATGCTGACCACCATGAAGTCTCTTGAATGCCTTCTGCTTGTCAGCTCCCCCTAGTGGATGGAGGTGAGATAGTGTTAACCCAGTACTCTGAAGTCCATTGGGGGCTCAGAGAGCACTGCAGAACAGTGTCCTAAGTCACTCTCTGTCTTTGGCCAAGCGCCTGGCTACATTTACAAAATAATTTCTATTAATATAGCCACACGAGGAGGAAGACCAAGTTTGCTGATTTGAATTGAAACAATGCTTGTCTCTATTTCTCTTATTCAGAGGGCAAATTATCTTATTTAGTGGACAAATGCATATACAGTATGTTTTATTGAAACCTAAAAAATGGCTTAAAAATGAATTCCTTTTATTTTTTTTTAATTTATGTGTTTTCTTCTCATACTGCAATGTTAACATCTTTGGAAACTTTTTTTTCTTTTCCTGGAGTGGGTACCTAGTTTTGATCCCCTCCCACCCTTCCTGCAACCTCCTGGGACACATTACAGGCCCCAGAAGACTGCAAGGTTCATTTACAAAGTGCAGCCCGACTTGTGTATGCACAGGGGTAAGCTGGCTGTGAAGCTACAGGAAGTCACAGCTGACCTCCCACAAGCAAGATGGTGGGATCGGGGACCCAAAGACTGGTGAAGAACCGGCTTGGGAGAAGACAGCACTGGATCCCTGGATTGGTAAGTGTGTATTTATTAAAAATTAGCAGTGACAGCTGGTGCTGCTGACTTTTAATTTTTTTTAAAACAACGGTTTAGCTTCTCTTTACCATACTGGGCTTAACTTACTAAAGCCAAATAGGCTATTCTCTTTAAAAGGGAATTGTTACTTTGTAAGAAAATTTGACCCAGAGCTTAGTGAATGAGGTGAAGCTCTGTTGAGTTCCATCATCCAATAATGTGCAAGCAAAAATGGATTTTGTTTTATGTCTCTTGCACGTGATTGGGTATTCTTTGCAAAGTGAAATTTCAAAGTGGGTGTTCTTTGCAAAGTGAAAATTCACCACATTCACTAAGTACAATGGCTAATTTCAATGGAAAGTGCAACTTCCCTTGCAAAATGAACAACTTATTTGCCTATAGTATATCAACCCCATTTGCCTTTGATTGTGCTTCATATTCTAGTTTCAGACAGCAACCTGAAGAAATGTTTGATTTGCAGGAATATGTTTATGCTTTGTTATGGTATTGTAACATCCCGTCAAGATCATAGGGATCATTTTGCTCAGATATATTATCTCACTATAAATGTACAAAATGGTAGCATTTACAAAATATGAACTCAGAAGAGTTCAAGACTTTTTTTCATTTCTGATTAGGATAGATCAAGTATGTCTTTGTAGTCTTTAAAGATAACAGCAATAAAAATAGTTCTCCACAAGACTATAGACGATATTTATACAGTAGAAAAGACCAAAATGTAGAGACGTAGACATAGTACATCTATTCATAACTTTCCCCATAGAGACTAGTTATCCAAACACTTCGCTGTCTGCTTTCTGAGTTCTAAAATGTAACACTGATCTTACACATGTGGCATAATTATAAGCTTTGTTTTTACTGCTTGACAAGTCTGATCAAGAACTCGTGCCTTACTATACTTCTCCAGGTTTCAAATAAACCATCTCCACTTTTGTGTTCATCATCTAAGAATGAATTATCCTTTTTAATTTTTAAAATATGTTAATATAAGTGAAAGGTGAAATATAAGACTATAAGTTTCAAACACCTGCGTGCTTGCTTCTGGTTATTTTTTCCATCTTCATGCTTAGGTTTCAGCAAAATTCTATCTACTTCAAGACTTCTAGCAGAAAAGGATTATTTGTTGCCTTTGGCCAATAATCTTGAATTGTTAGGTCAAATATCGTACTCAATTTCCCTTCCCGTTTATAGAAAACACAGCCTGAAGAGGTGATATTTCAGTACGTGTAAGCTTTTATATTCTAGGGATAGGAATACTTATATAGCTGATGGACTGTACAACTGATGGACAGCTGTTGATAATTAGGTAAATTGAAAAACAAAAGTATATAATTCTAGGAATAAGTGGCTTGTGGTGATTCTGAAAATGGCAGCTGAAAATGTTTTACAGCAAATATTCACAAGAGGTATGTTTGTACCTGTATATCACAGCCCTGACAAAAGTCCTTTCTAAACACTTGCTATGAGAATAGGGGTTGTAATCATGCTAAATGACCAATTTTATTTATACATTTTGTGTATATTTTTTTATAAATATATATTTTTATTTTACTTGTAGTGCCATCAATGTACACAGTACTTTACATATATATTGTACAATAACATCATTTCCTGCCCCAAGGTTAAGGGTTAGTCCCCTAACTCATATTCATACATACACATATTAGGGCCAATTTAGACAGGTGCCAATTAACCTACCAGCATGACTTTAGAGTGTGGGAGGAAACCTATGGAAGCACAGGGAGACCACGAAATCGCCGTGCAGGTAGTGCTGTGGTTGGGACTCAAACCGACAACCCTAGTGCTGCTTGGCTGAAGTACTACCCACTTATTCACTGCAATGCCCTATTTTACTAACAGGCTGGAACAGTCTGTGCACCTAGCTCATGCAAACTGTAGCTACAGAAATCATTTTTAAGCTCAACTCCAGGAATAAAGCCACTTTGTAAAATGGGATGGCATTCCACCCCATGAACATATCTCTTTAAATTACATCTGACAGTTTTATTAAACTCCGGAAGGATAGCTATTGCTACACTCCTGGAGCTCTGAAAGGAGAGCATCTACTCTCTTGCACACAGCAGCTCTGAAGGCCCCCCTTCCCCATTCACAGACACATTTGAATCTTGTGAATAAACGCACATAATACAAAAACACTCTGTGACTGGGCAACAGGAGGGGAGAGGCAGGAAAAGCAGCTGCATGCAACTCTGCAGCTGAAGGAGCTGAGACCAGAAGGTCCAGAGTTGGAACTCTGGAAGTGTAGCAATAGCTATATTCCCAGAGCTCCATAAAGCTGTCAGATGTTAATTAAGAGGTAAATCCATGAAGTTGCTTGTACCTTGTTTGACTTAAATCACATTATGTCTGCTCATACTACAAAGTGGCTGAATTCTGGGGGTGGATGGAGTTCAGATTTAAGTTCTGGAGGGATTTATACTCTGGTCCACATATTTATAATGTCTATAG